CTTTTATTTTATAACATCAAAATTTACTTTAAAATAATATTCAATCTCGTAAATTATTGTAAATTGTGATTTTGTATACGGAGTATGGTAATCTTGGTTTTTGAGTGAAAAGCTGAAAATTCTAAGAAAATGTATTGTTCCTAAACTACAGCAATTTTACTATCCATAATGAATATGGTTCTCAAACTGTGAATTTGAGTGTAGTGTTTCATCTGGGATTTTTTTTTGGTCCTTCTAAAATACGATAAAAACAAACGTTCTGCTGCTACAGAGGACAACTGATTTAGGGCATGTTCTCTATGACTACAATTGTACATATTTGGTGTGTAACAGTTAGTATTTGTTTCATGGGTACATCGCTATGAAGGCAGTCAACAGATCTCATCTCCACACCTGCACTCGTGTACCCAACCATTCCAGCACAAATACTCGACCATCTGGTGTAACAGCAACGTCAAAAGGACATTTCATTTGACCAAAACCTGAACCATGGCTACCGAAGGACCTTATGAACTGACCGTCTTGACTGAAGACTTGCACGCGGTGGTTATATATATCACAAACAAGAAGCATTTCTTTACCAAACACGGCAATTCCACCTACACAGTTAAACTGACCTTCTTTGTTGCCTTTCATTCCAAACGTGTACAGTAGAACACCATTCTCGTCAAAAACACAAACAGCGTCCAGACCAATAAACGATACAAAGTACTTATTGTTGTGATAAACTAATGAGGAAGGCTCTATATGACTTTCATCGGGGACGGCATTCAGTTTGATGTCATGAAGGTGATCATAACTGTGTCTATCAAAACACTTTATAAATGTCTCCTTAGTATTGGTATTGTAACACAAACATGCGATGGTTTGATTGGCTGTACACATTCTTTTCAAAAACATGCCTCTATGTAGTCCAATAAGAGTTCTTTTGTAGGTACCATCGATGTCAAATACCTTGATACAGCCACAATCACCTGGATTATCGCTGATGACTATTTTATACTCGTTGAAGATGACTCCACCTGGATTACTCAGCTGACCATCTCCTGATCCTGCACCACCAATGTCTCGCAAATACTCTCCATCTGCATTGAACAACACAACACGGAAATCCTTTTTATTTAAATCACGGTTAACCACAGCAATGTGGCCACTGTCATTTACATCAAGTGTAATAGGATTGGACATCCTCCCTTCGACATCAGTTATCGTCGAGGGCTTAAAATCTGCTTTAGCATGGATTGTCTCAATGTTCTGTGCTGAGTTTTTGATTTCTTTTCCTCCAATACTCACCACAAATTTGTACGGTGAAGGTTTCTCTGCTTTATATCTAACTAGAAATCTTCCAGTTTCAGTTTCAATCAGTTCTTTCTGCACATTCTTGCCATCAACATCTTGGATTTGTACATCAATTGAGCCTTTGTTGGTATGGCATATATACCCTTGTGAATTTCTTGTCACGATCACAAATCCATTGATACAACCACGTCTGACGTTACTTACAGATTCCATAGAACAACGAGACGGATCTGTCACGCTTTCCACTACCTCGCCGAGTTGGAATTTTCGCATCATGGCAATGGCTTCCGGGTTTGGAATGAAGCTAATGCTTGTGTTTCGCTTGACTGGTTTGGTCGATAAGATGGACTTGTTTTGCGCTGTGGTTTTACAAACTTCTAGTAAATTTTCATAGCTTTCTAATATGAATTTCTCTAAGTTTTTGTCTTCCGTTGTTTCACACTGATGTTTCAGTTCAGTGAATTGTTGGATGTTGCCGTCGATATCTTTTTTCTCGTCTTCATTTGCTGTTGTTTGTTCTGCAAGGAGGCCGTCCAAGGTAGCAATCAAAGCGTTTTGACGGTCTTGTAGAATCTTCATCAGAGCTTGTGTATCATTTCGTACTTTTGCCTTTGCTGCATCAACCTCGCTTTGAATCCTTGTCATATTTTCATTGGACAGTTCTAAATCTTTCTTGTAACCGATAAGCAGCTCATTCAGTCGATCCTTTTCGTTTCTGATAAGCTTTTTAGCATCTTCAGCTGCCTGCTCGATGCTGACCTTGTCATGGATGCTGTGTGCTGTTGCAGAACATTTATTGCAAATGCACTTTCTGCAAGTGATGCAGTAGTAATCGAGACGGCATTTCTGGTGAAATTTCTCCTTACAAATGGATTGATTGTTAATGTAACTGTTGACATTTTGTGTCTTGAATTCGCTCCACAGCGTTGCTTGATGGGTTTTTATTGATGACTTTGTTTTGTGTTGGTTGATGCATTCATTACAAATCATTCCTTCACATTGAGGACAAAATCCAACCAATACGCTTCGTTTGTTGCAACCTACACACTCTGGAAGCTGCTGTTGGCTCTGTTCGTCAGTCTTGGTCTTCATGACGTTGAATAGCTGAAGCAGCGATTTGTATGTAAAGGAAGAAGGAAGCTTCGAGATGTCGTCTCCTTCGATCTTGACTACTGCTCGACAAGTTGGACACCTTAGTCTCTTCATTTCTCTCTGACAAGCTTCGTTCCAATCTTTGATGCATTTAAAGCAGAAAGTATGTAAACATGGTAGTGTTCTTGGATCAGTAAAGATATCGTTACAAATAGCACAAGTTAACTGTGCCTCCAAATTGTCTCTGAAGCTAGAAGATGTTGCCATTCTAGTTGTTAAGGGAGTTGTTCCTGTGTGTACGTTATTTCGAGAAATATAATGGTTGATTAGTTGTCACCACAGAAACCATGCCAGCATCAAAGCAATGAATATTTCAAACATCAAAATTGTTGAACTGAAGCAGTTTAAGTAATC